GTGGGGGGGGGGTGGGGAGGGGGGGGGGGGGGGGGGGGGGGTGGGGGGGGGGGGGGGGGGGGGGGGGGGTGGGGGGTGGCGGGCCAAGGAGCGGGAAGGAGCCTGAAGGGGAGGGAAGGTGGTGACGGAGAGGGGCGGGGTGAGCTAGCTGGGAAAAAAGAGGGGGAGGAGGAGAGAGGGAAGGAGCAAAAGTAAGGGAACGGGAGAGTGGAAACTTTGAAAGAGATAAAGGAGTAAGGAGAGGTTGCAAGGCGACGGGAGTAACCCGAAATAGAGGAAAACGTAATCATGCCATTATGCCTGCTGCTGGAAAGGAATGTCACGATGTCAAGATAGGAAAGAAAAAAAGCTTAGATAGGAAGAAAAGGAGTTTATTTTATTTGGAGCTATAAATTGTTTTCTTTTATGTCAAGGTACCACAGACCCAATATTGAATAGGGCCTGAGTTTTGATACGTTTTTCAGTAACGTAGTCGTAAATCCTTTTACCTTTCTACCAGGAGCATTTTCTAAGATGGCTCACCAGAGTTAAGGGTGCATGCAAAGGCCAAGAAACAGGAAGGTAACTGACCCCCTACCCAGCACAATTCCCAGGACCACCTGCTACCCTCACCTATCAGTCATTAACTCAGTAATTTATACACCAAAGCTAAGACCCACTTCCTTCTTTTACCAAATCTCAGCTTATAGACTGTCTCAAAGGAGACACTTTAGGAGAACAGTATTGACAAAACACAATGTTTTCTACCAATTTGTTTCATAAGCCCAATTTTAAAGATGATTACTGAAAAGGAAAAAAAAAAACCCTCTGAATTTCGTTAAATGAGAAACAATAAATCTGGTAAATTCCCTGCTGGGAGTTTTTACTTAACCCTAGGGCACTCTCAGAAGGAGAGAACACAATTTCAAGTAAAACTAAGTTTGCCAACCTGTTGACCATTCTAACTGCAGAAACCATTAACAAGCATGTATCCAACGACTTCATATGCCAGACACTATGCCAGGTCCCTGCCCTTGAGAAGCCAGTGGGGGAAGATAGTTTCAAAACTAATTTCCATAACGGTACTGTAACAAATGTACAAAGTGCTGGGGGAAGGGGCAAAACAAGAAATTTGGGGAAATCTGGAATAGTTTCACAGAGATGATGTTTATGCTGGGTCTCAAAGTGGAAGTTGCCAAAAAGACAAGAAGGGAGAGGGTGAAAGGCATTCTGGGCAAAGGAAACAAGGGAAAAGCAAGGAGTTGTGAAAGGGCCTAGCCTGTTTATGGAAACATGGAAAATGCAGTGAGGCTGGAAAGTAGAATGTCTGGTGGGGAGTAAGGAAGATGAGGCTCAAAAGTGCCGGGCACAGCAAGCCAAGACTTTTGGAGTCTACCCTGTAGGCGATGGTAGACAGAGGTGAAACAATCACTGAGCAAGTTGGCTTTTATAAGCAGGGGAGTGACAGTATGGTGGGTGGGGTAAAGGCAATTGTATGGTTTAGTTTGTGATACGTGAATCAGAATCCTGCAAATAAATCAACTTTCTAACTTTGTTTAAACAGGCCCACTTTTTCTGTGTGTGTTTAAAAGTCCCTGGTTAAAATGCACATCCTCCTGGAAAGGTACCACCTTGGGCATTATCAGCCAATAATATCCTTGTGCTGTTTGATGACAGCCTGCTGAGAGAAAGGTTCTAATGGAATTTAGGCCCTAGGGGCTCAGAGAAGGGAGACAGAGGCCCGAAAGGGGGCAGATGGAAGCAGTCCTGTTTTGAATATACTGTACAGTTTTTGCTGCCCAAAAGGAGATAGTAAACTTTTAAGGCCACGGAAGGTGTCCTAAAACATTAAGCCTTCCTTTATTGTGTCTCACATTCACACAATGCTAAACAACTTTGTAAATGCAGAGTAAATACTTATTGAATATTTCATTGAATGAGAATAAAAATAATGCTGTATCCTTATAAGGGAGGATTAACTGGAAAAAATTTTCAGGATTTAATGAATAAGTTTGCTCTAATTCATGTAATTAAATTCCTTAGAAGAGTGTATTGAAGTGCTAGCTATTTTAAAAATTACAAATATTAGTGCAGCTTTTGCCAGACAAAGATAAACTTTTATGCTATCTTAAAAGATAGCTGAGTCCTGTTAATATTCAACTACATTCTAGTAATAATAGCTCACAATCTCATATGGTTATCTAAAACCTTCAGCCTTTTGAGTTACGTCTTAGTTCTGAAAGCACAGACCGTTGGCTCTTGAGCTCTGGATCACTTTGAATGACCCAGTAAGGTTAATCTATTTAAGTTTTCAATGAAATATCCTTAAGTGAGTTTTGTGGAAAAAAACAATTTTGTTTTCTCTTAAGTGGGCAATAATAATCTTCCTTTCAACATTTTACAACCACATTTTATTCTGGGCCAGGTCAATCCTTGCATATTTAGTACACCTAATATGGATATGAAATTTAATATTTTTTTGTTTAATAGTTAAACTTTGTGGCACAAACCAACTTAAATGTTACTATATGATGTGTGAGGACCAGAACTTTGTTTCTTCTTGGACCCTCAGACCAATCTAAAAAAAAGAAAAACCTCCCATGTTGCTTTGTAAAACATCTTTTAGATCAAGAATTAACTAATTGGGGCTAGCTAAAACATAAGCAAATATTCTGTACACCCAAATGTTTGCCAACCAACGTGAAACACATTCTCAATATTAAAATACATGTTTCAAAGCTGAACTCACTGAAGCTACAATAATCAAGATGTATAATATAGGACACCATACAATTATAGCCATTATCAGACTAAACCAGATTGGGCACTTAACACATATTCCATATATAGAATCTTTCATCTCGTGAATTCAACTCGTACCTTAGAAACATTAATTAAACTTTACAGTGCTGTCAGATGAGGTGTAGTTATTAGTGGCCTTTTTTAAACCAAGCTATTTATAAAGGTAAATTTATGTATAAAGGAAGAAATACAAACGAAGACAGAGGACTAGTATTTCTTTTTTTTTTTTTTTTTTTTCTTTTTTTTTTAAAAGATGACCGGTAAGGGGATCTTAACCCTTGACTTGGTGTTGTCAGCACCACGCTCAGCCAGTGAGCGAACCGGCCATCCCTATATGGGATCCAAACCCGGGGCCTTGGTGTTATCAGCACCGCACTCCACCGAGTGAGCCACGGGCCGGCCCC